TACAAAGAAGAACATGATCAGCATCCCATGAAGGTTAATCGGTACAAAATGTGGCCTTTCCTCCCCTATATATATATATATACAGTATATCATTCTTTAAAACAAGTGTGCTCAGGCAGAGCCTGGAAAGGAAAATAATGCTTACAGCATGGTGTAAAGTGATCCTACTGAAAAGAACTGGCATGGTAAACCTGTGAAGGGGCTGGGTGAGGGGCTGGGAAAGCGAATATGGGCTTTGAAAGCCATTCACCCCAGAGGCGAGAACTACCTTAAGGGAACTGGAAGCAGACATCTGACTTTAAGGAAGTTGTGTACATCTGACAAGCAAACAGCACAGCTTTGCTAAAATCATTTCTGACTAATATCATTAAAGGCGAGGCCTCTATTTGGCCTGCAGGGTTTGCACAGACTCAGGCTTCCACAAACGGCACTTCCAGTCCAGCCTCTCTGACTCTTCTCATGCCAGCAGATGCTCACCGGAACTAACATAGTGCCCAAGGACTGTTCTGAGCTCTGAAAAGCTTTGAACTTAACATGAGCAATGCACATATTCCTGGAATCCAATTAGAAATCAAAGATGCCAGGACCATCGCTCCTGCTTTAGCGTGTACTGCTTTCTCAGTCTGATAAATAGCACCCTTGCTGTTTTCTTTTTGAGAAAAAGTCTCATCTCCCCAACTGGGTTTCAGTTTCCAGTCTCTACTAGGTCTTGTGACTCCTTCCCTGTTATCTTAGGAAGGAAGACAACCTTCATGTTCTCAACCCTCATGTCACTGAAGTCTCTCCTTTGTCAATTGCCCCAAAGAAGCCCTCCCCTGCCCCCTTTATATACATAAGCAGAAACCAGCTATGGTGTGAACAGAGACGCAAGAGTTGAGTGGGACAGACAGCTGGAGAGCATCCAGAATCCAACACATCAAGCAGGCTGGGGGGCGGTCAGCTCTGAACATGAGTGCGTAAGCCAACACACACATCTTTCTTTTTTTCTGTTTTCTTTTTTACTAAACATTAAATTATTTCTTAGGAAATAAAAAGCTATTTACACTGTAGTTATATACAATATGCCATCTGTAGCCTCAGTAATGACATGCACGAGGCAGGGCCTCTTTCAGAAAGGTGTGCGTGCCTTTGGCAGCTATGTCCACTCCCCCCTCAACCTACATTCTGAAATTGAACCAGGGGATGGTATGTGGTGTGTGTGTGTGTGTGTGTGTGTGTGTGTGTGTGTGTGTTGTGTGGGTGGCAGGGGTAGAAGGAATAGAATTGAACAAAAAAACAACTCAAAAAAGAAAAGACAGAAGGACACTGGAAGGTCTTTGCTCTGCCAACAGCAGAGTGAAGCAAGGACCCTGTGGAAAGACACATCCTTAACACAGATATAACCATGTATTTCTTCATCCCACTGCGATCAACTAAGGATGCCTTGATTTCCTCCCAAAGCCCAGCATTGGACTGCTATTTATGAAGGGACCCTTGGTAAACAAAAGCTAAAAAAGACATTTTCATTTTTCCATAACAATAGTAATAATTGCCATCAAAAATCAAGTCAGGAAGGTGGTTGACCATGTGGCTTCTTGGTTAAACACTAGTACAGTTGGGGATCTCCTTTGTGCTCTCGCTGTTTGCAATGGTGGCAATACCTCCTGCAGCGGGGGAAGACATAGAGAGGAAACAGAGGTAAGTTCCACAAGGCCACTGAGTCTTTGCTTTATTCACTGCCAAATACCAAACTGCCTGGAACAGGCTGTAATATGTTTTCACTAAGTAGAGCATCTGAATATTCCTATGAGATCACAAGCTTCTCATCCTCCTCCCATAATAGAATATAGGTAGCAGACACTGCACTAACTCATAGCATCATTTAATGAGGGAGGCAATTTCAGAGATTTCCAGACAGTATATGACAGGCAGACAGAATCCTGGTACTATTAGTCCCATTTTACAGTTGAGGAATGTATGATACTGAGCACACACAAGGTTTGCAGATTGGCCGTGTAAAAGATAGTCCATACCTCATTCTGCATTCATGTAGACATTGTTAAGGACTTATGAGGCTTTGGGTTTATAGGTTTAAAAAGGAAAAGAGCCTGATAGTAATGGACTTCATCCTCCACTGGGACATCCAAATTTCCAATCTTTATTAAATTCTAATGGAAAAAATATATATATACTTGTGTCAATTTCATGTGGCTAGAGCTGGCAAATGAATTTTAAAACAAGATTATGCCACTATAACTAGTGTTTTCCCCAGCTTTGCAGTCCAGGACCATCTAGTGGCACATGCAGTGCCAGCTAATGACAGAATATGTAGAGGACACGGGACTCTAAGAATGGTAGCACAGACACACATACCTATGACCCGCGTGTCCAGCTCTTTTTCCAGCAGCTCCTCTGGCTCGGTGAAATCACTGAGTGTGATTTTGGGGGCATTTTCACTTTGGCTCACTGACCCGATCATCTCCTGTTCCTTGTCATGTTGGACTTGGGCATAGATGTTAATCCAGGGGATTTTCCTACATGAGGTAGGAACAAAATCAAAGTGAGATCAAATGGTATGCCTGTTTTAAGCAATAAGAAGTGCTGGGGGGAGGGCTAAGTGGAGGAAATGTCAGAACAGGGCCAGCCAGTGTCAGGGGAACAACCTGGCCACACAGAGACACTGAGGCCAAAGATACAAGGCTAACTGGAGACCAGGATGCCCAGCTAAGATTGAACCCGCAGAACATTCATTAAAGGGAGAAATGGTGTTGATCAGTTACTCAATAAAGCCCAAAAATGTTTACCTGTATTTACACTTGCAAAGGAGCTGGACTTTGAATCTTATGAGATTCAAATGTCATCTTTCACTAAGTTGACATGTATGCAATTGATTCCTATTGCCTTGTTTTAGGAACAACCCAAAACAACAGACTCATGTTTACAATTTTTAGAGCAACACACTTGGGTCAAATATATCAAGTATTTTGATAGTTTCCTTCTCTGCTTAACCAGAATAACAGTAGCTTCGTTTTAGGACTGAGAGTATGTTAAGGAACAGATTACAGGAGGACAAATAAATTCCCTGAAAGACATAAAAGGAGCAGGTTTGGAGACACAAGGCAATCAAGTTAGGGTTGGAAGACAGCAAGTTCAGACTGAGAGCTCAATGAAACTGACTTCATCCCTGACCCTGCCAGCATGACTCCTGCCATACTTTCTTCAAGTATCAGCAGGTTCCTCCCCAGGCCTAAAATCTGGTGTTCCCCATACACTTATGTAGACAGATTTCAATCATGGTCTCTAGTCCAATGTGAATTGTGACTCATAGATTCAAACTGGATGGATTTGGGATCTGTGTTCTGCCAAGTTCTCAGGAATGGCTGATCTCAGTGCCACTGAGTGTCTATCAATTGGAACATTGAATCTACACAAAAGACTCTCTCCCCTGCGGACTTGACATTGAACTAACTGTACCCTCTATCTATGTAAGATGCCTATGGTTCTCATGGTGATGTTTGATCTCTGTCCTTCAGAAATTGGCTCATGTGTCACTTCTGAAGGCTCCTATGATCCCAGATAATGTCCTGATTTAATGTGTAATTATAAGACAAAGTCTATAAAAACTAGTAAGGTATAGGTTTAGATTGATACAGTAGCTGTTTATTGACTTGTTTTTCTGTCATTCTCACTAAACTAAAAGCTTCATATGGGCAAGGTCTAAGTGTTCTATGTTCACAGCTGTACAGTTAGCACACAGTTGCATTTATTAGGTATTTGTTGAATGGATGAATAAAATGTCCAAAGCCTGTGTTCTATGCATTTGCTAGGCTGATTTCCAATATAAAGGCTGTATTTTTTATGTTGGCATATCATATCCAGAAGATATTTTTCTTACCTCATTGAATGATAGTGAACTAAATTCTAAAATGATGGGAAGCCAATAAATGTCTTCTTCAACCCGGTGTACTTCATGCATTCCTAAAGGTCCATTTCTCTCTTGTCCTAGTTTAAATCAGTCAGATTTTCATGCTTATATCTTCTTCATTCTATTCCAACCCCCAAATGGGGTAAAATACTTAATGAAGGTTTCCAGGATAACTCTTAAAGGAAACTCTGAAAATAGGTCTTAAACACACACTTGTCTCTACCTTTCCTCTATGCTCAATTTTCATATCTTGGTTTTCTTTCCATACATAAAAGGCTGTGTCCTCATGTTTCCTACTGGTCCATTACCAATGTCACCCAATTTGTGATACCTTAAATGGGAATGATCTGGGAGGCAAAAGCCTACACACTCCATGAATGTAGAGTATGGAAAATTCAGGGGTTATAGTATCAACTCAGTTGATGGAAGGGCTTGTATAGCATACATTGAGCTATGGGCTCCATTCCCAAGTTCTCACAAACTGGCCATGGTGTGCATGCCAATTACAGTAATTAAGAGATACATGTGTGAGGATCAGTTCAAGGTAATTCCCATTTATGTAATGTGTTTGAGTCAAGACTGAAATAAAGGGAAAAAAGAAAATATAGAGAAAAAGATAATTAGACAGATGATGATATATAGATAGGTCGACAGATAATTAGAAAGACAGATAATAATAGGTGATATAAAAGTAACTGGTAGCCAGAAAGATTAGATAGACAGATAATAATTGGTGGTATAAATGATAGGTAGATAGATGGATGGATGTATAAACAGACAGTGAGACAGATTAGATGATGGATAGATAGATGATAGGTAGGTAGGTAGGTAGATAGATAGATAGATAGATAGATATTGAGTTGCTCTGCCCTTTGATTTTTAGTTAAACACAGATATAGTCTAATAAATGAAATTGCTTCTAATTAGAAAACTGCAGTTGCTTATGAATGTTAAGGTCAACTGTAATATTAATATCCACTAGATCCGGGGGCAGTCAAACCATTCCTGATCATACAATTTGTTATCTATCCTTTCTTCTTAGATAAACACACCTATTAGTGTTTGTATTCATTTGGCCTTACCATGACTGCTCACTTACTTCATTCCCTGAAAGCAAACATGTTTTCATCTTCAACAGATGACTGGAAGAGACTGACTTTGACATCACAATTTGTAACAGTATAAAAAGCTGTCAAGTTGCTTTTCCTTGATTAGCACATCTACTTGTAGAACTTTTGAAGATGTCAGTCAAGCCTGACCTATGTGTTTTTATAAAGAGATGAAGGGACATGTCTTGGGCCACATATCCATACAAGTTTAAATAAAAGGAGTAAGATGGAAGAGGGCATGTATCCTAAAAAAAGCAAGCAGGCAAACAAAATCAGGTGCATTTTTATATTAATTTGCTCCAGCAACGAAAAAAGTAGATTTTGAACTATAATGAAAGCCTTATTAAAAATGTAGGAGGAAATGTAAGGGCTCCAACATTTTGTTGAATAACCAGAAAAACATACACAATTATAGAAAGCAGGTCTTGTTGAGATTTTAGAAAATAAAATCATTTCACAAGGATTTTTAATTATATTGCTAAGGCATCTGGAAACAACTTTCACTATCTATGAAGCAGATGTGATATGAGAGGGAGGGTGATATTTACTTGAAGGATGTTTGGGAATCTTACTTCATCTCCTTTTCTTGACTGTGGTGGGTGATTTTCAGTGCATAGAACATAGTAGGAACTCAATATGCATTTGCTAGATGAATGCACATTTAAATTAGTTTGTGCTAGTAGTCATATCAAAAGAAAATTTTGCTACCATATCAGTACAGATTATGATGCATGCTCATTCTTATAGAAATGCTACTGGATGGTGATGAACAAGGCAGGGGAGAGTGAGAGACCCAGGATGCTGTCTGACCTTTGCTTGCTTGCTAGCTGGCTTACCCTGCACAGCCACCACTGGGATCCTACAAGATGGGAGGAAAGAAAAGGCCAGAGAAATAAAAGAAAATCCAGCTGAGTATCAACCAAAGGCCTGGAGCACTGGGAGGAAAGCATGGAACAGGAACTTGGACTAGGAAAGTAAAGGCTAACATGTGGCTTAATGCTCTTTATCCAGTTTTATTGGCACTAATGCACTGTCAGAGAAGGAAAGTTCTCACTGATACTTGGGAACTACAAAGTAGAATAATTCTGAAATGTCATTATCTAAGCAGATTTATGTATGAAAGTCTACAAAGTTAGTTTTGTTTGTGGAAAGAAGTTGATTGTCTGGGGAGTTTAACCATCTTTATATACCAACGGAAAATATCTAAGTCACAAGATAGCTTGCTATAATTTGAAGATGTGTGATAAAAAGAATTGCTTCTTGCAGGATTTCTACTGGCCCTCATCCACCATGAAATGGAATGCTAGAAACAAGACAGGATACATTTTGCTTATTTGATATTCACCCCTACCCCAGTCTTTACATTCCTCACAACTCAGAAATTCTTACAAATAGTTATATGACTGACATTCTGTTTCACAAAATGGTGTTTTATTTTCTTATTAAAAATTTCCCCTTGATTATACCTGAAGGCTTTTTCCTCTATTCAAAGCAAACAAGAGTAGATGGATTGGCCCATCTTGACCCAAAAGCACATGAATTCCTATTCCGATTTGTAGGTCCACTAGTGAAGTAAAACCAGCCTGTCCTTCCCGTGATCGTGGGAAAGAGTTGAGAGATTATTGCCCTTGTGGCTAACAATGCATTATATATTAAATAAAAAAGACATTTTTAAGCAACCAAAATATCCACTGGTAAAGAGAAAAATGGGGAGAGAAGAATAAAACCACCCACCACCAACCTCCTCGACAATCCACAAAGATTATCTCCAGGGCCTGGAAACACTCCTAGACCAAGATATGCTTTAAGAACTCACATAATTAATAATGTTCTTTTTATTTTACCCAGGCTTCCCAAACAGTATGACTCTTTATTTATCATAACTTTTGAGAGCCCATTATGTTATGAGCCAGTTTATGGCCCACGGCGTCCCTGGAACACACAGTCTCTGGTTCTTTGTTATTGATGATACTCAGTCTTATCAAATTATCTTGACTACTTAGTATATGGCAGCCACAGCTGTTAAAATGTTTAATTAACACAGCAAAACCATGAGATATCATTGTTTTGCACATCTCACAAATGAGGAAATGAAGGCTTGGAGACATAAGTACAGTTGCCCAAGAGTATAAATGCCAGAAGTGAAACTGAGTCCATGTGATTGCAGATTTTATATTCCAAGTCAGTAAACCTCTTGGCAGGTTTACATAATTTGAATACTAGTGCGTAACTGTTCATTTCTACTTCATTCTTTTTGCAATATTCTATTATGTCACCCTCCCTGGGGCCTTCAAAAATAGTTTCTGAACACATGTGGGATTTCTCTGCCTGAAGAGTTTCTTTTCAAAGTAGTAAAAGAAGGAAACAGAAGCAATATATAATAGGCAACATTGTATTCTTTCTTTAAAAAAAAATGAATCATAGTCTCATATAGCCCAGGGTGGCCTGGCAAAAGACAATCTCAAACTTCTGATCCTCCTGGCTCCACCTTTCAAGTGCTGGGACTACATTCATGTACCATGTAAATCATGATTTATATGTTAGTCAAGTCAGGCCTTGAGCATGCTAGATAAATACTTTACAAATTATGTTCATCACCTTTCATGCAGGTTTAAACAGAGATACTAGATAGCACCACTATGAGATAAAGAAACATTATATATACATACACCTCAGTGTATGCTTATGTATTCACTGAAAATGAAGACTTTTCTCTATTTAAATATTCTGCATGGGTGTTGGTCTATATGAAAACCCTTCTTGATTATCTAACAACTTACTTTTGAAATATGGGTGGGTTTTGAGGATCCTCTCACACATCTATTATGGAGAATAAATAGATTTCAAAACTAATCCTTATTTTTCTTAATGTATGAAACCTACAAAGTGAATAGGTCAGATTCTCATCACCTTCATTCCCTGATCCTCAGGCACTCCTGATTTTCTCCATCACTAAGGAGATCTTCCAGACAAATGAAGATCACATTGAAGATATGAGTTGAGGAACATCAGCCACAAGAAGAGTCAACTGCAATGAACCTCACCTAGAGATACAATCTGACTGATAATAGCACTTACCTTTTAAACTTGTAGATCAAAAAAACAGCCAAGCCGACAAAAACCACAGACAAGAGCATAAGCATGGCTGAACTGCTGTGCCCAGAGCTGGAGTCCACCAATGGAGCTAGGAGGGAAGAAGAGACATTGGAGAGTGGAGGCTGACAGCATTGACCCTGATTTCCACTCTCCAAAGGCCTGTATGCTACCTAGGCATGGGAAGCTTTGCTTTGATGATGAGAAGAGTTGTTCTCAAATTTCAAGGAAAACTAAGCTCTTCCATTGTGTCTGGAACACTTGCTGGTAGGGTATATATTGAGTACATGTGACTAGCTTAGGGAGTAAGGTCTTGAATTCTTTGTCTCCTTAGTCTTCTTAACAATGTGGCATCACACGAATGACTTTGGGTTAATCACAAATACAATCTTAATTGTTGTACTCTCCCTCTACCACACTCTGCTGGTACAAGTCCCCTAGGTGTCGAGCTTTAGGAACTCATTGCCAGAAAATTATAAGGTCAGAAAGACCCACCCAGAAAGCAGACTCTCAGAATCACCACATCAATGCCCAATGGGACATGCCACTTTTATTGCTTTTGGAAGGCACCCAGCAACAGCTATCTGTTCCCTCTTCCCACATGGGCTCACATACTGGAAATTGAATGGGATCTTAGAGTTTCTCAAGCTGACCTCTAACAAAGACTCAGAGAATCAAAGACCTTTGAAGAGACCAAGTACCACCCATATAACCCAAACCAGCTCAAATATAAAAGAAAGAGAACATTTTCTTCAAACATTATGAAGGATTCAATAATAAAGCAACTTGTAAGAAAGTCTTCCTGTAGTACCTACCAAGATACTGTTAGCCATTTTCATACAGATAGGCTTAGGTATTGCATCATCAATGGAAAAGGTTTTGGAGATTATTCCTTCCCTTTTCTGGTCAAAATAGTCCTCATATCCCCTGATTCCCAGCAAACACTCACCTAGTGTCAGCTGTGTGACATATACAATGACCTGGACCCCTGGCTTCAGCTCAAACTGTACCAAGTTTTGGTTGAGTGCATTAAATAGTGTCTCTACAATCTGTAAAACAAAAGGGTTCATAGATAGACATGGCAAGTTATTGTGCTCCCTTATGAGTTGACTGGCAAAAAAAAGTTCATTCATGGGATGTGGACATCTTTATCAACTTGGCTCTCACATCCTACAGAGCTTCTTGAAACCCAGAAGTGGAAAGACAGAAAGAGGTGTGTCAGAAATGAAAGAGCAGCTTTTCCAAGCTGCCAGTGAATGAGGGCTCTAACAAACATAGCATTTCATTCAACTTCTAGCTTAGAGCTCTTTCATCCCTGCCTTTATAACCAGAGGCCTGTTGTGGGGTCAATGAAAGAATGTCAACTCCTCATTAGTTCTTTAATCTGATCAGGTAGCAAACTGAGTACAGAGGCCCCTGAAAGGATTAAAGCGCATGCCGACCCCTTCCCAAACCTCTGCATATTCTGTTCCACAGACAATGGGAGGCGAACATCAAAGTACAGGCTGACTCCTTTTATGGGATAATTTTTCCTCTTTCCTCTTTCCACAGCAAGCCTCAGAACACATAACATTGATTTAATCACTCTCTGATTCCCACATGAAAGCTGAGGCTCACTTAGGCTGTTGTCCCCAAGTCTTATCTGGCTGTACACACCTCAGTATCACAGCTGCTATCCATCACTGTAATTACCTGTTTATCTAAATGGATGGATAGTGTAGCTTCCAAATATAGTTCATGCTTGCTACTTGCTATTTCAGAATAATGAAGGCTTAGGAAAGTGATGTGCGCACCAAGAAGATGGATTTATTTTTGAATGACTTCAACATGCACCCCTGTGATGAGAAGAAGTCCTTCCATCCAGAGAAAGGGACAATTAGCAGTTCTGTCTGAGCACTGTGGTGGGTGTCATCCAGGCCAGGTGAGACCTGGAAGGATGCAGAAGGAGTCTGTACAATGGTTACTCCATATATGAGCAAATTATGTTTCAATGGCACAGCCGTTCAGCAGCTTTGTCCCTTCTTATTTCCATTTCCCTTGACTTAGCATCATGAGAAGGTGGGACAGGGTGACACAGCATGCAGGCAGCAATACCTCAGTGGAAGCAGAGGTGATAGGGAGAAACAGCCGACTGTTGCCCACGTGCTTCTGGAACTGTGTGCGGATCACATGAACCATGTGTCCAACAATGACAGTCATATCCCACTTTGGAAACACCGCTTGTTTCATCAACACAAACTGAAGTGATTCATCTCTCTCCAAAGAAAAGTGTCTAAAAGCAATTTGTTTCTTCTCCAGAAACATTAAATTGACCAGAATCTCTAGGGCCCATGCAGTTTAAAGATAGGACCTCATTACCATAAACAAGTAAACACCAGTATGCACACCCTGTGTTTGCCTGCCTCTGTCTCTGGACTTACATCTGTCTCTTTCACCCTCCCTCTCTCCTTCAAGAAGCCAATGGGAGTATGAGGCATGAGCAAGGTCCTTGCTTATTCTGCATAGGGCTGACAGTTGGTCAAGTTCTTGGATGTTGGGTCAGGAGCCACTGGCAGACTGTATGTAGTCTACTCTTGCTCTTCGACCAGGGAAAACTTTCTATGAACTCAGGGTCTGGCATGGTGGCAGGTGTCCCAGTTGAATGTCTTTCACTTACTTGTTCTAGATCCCCTTCGTGGCCTTTCCTCCTCTCTGTCAAGTTCTTGGGTGGGAGGATGAAAAGTTCTGCTGAAGTGGGGAGACCTGGGAACACAGCCACGAGAATCTGATCTTCTGGGACGCTGGTCACCTGCAAAATATTTAGAGCAAAGAGTTAGGCTTCAAGTGCCGGTCTTCCATAGATCGATAGCCAGGAGCAGAGTCTTCATAGCTAAAAGGCCTATGTGAGGTTTTAAGAAGCCAGTATTTCAGTGCCAGGCTGCAGTGTACACCCTGACTGCTCTCCCAGTGACAGGCTGCAGTGTACACCCTGACTGCTCTCTCAGTGCCAGGCTGCAGTGTACACCCTGACTGCTCTCCCGTTTCCCCTGCAAGCTGCTAGGGAACACACCATTGCCGTCTCTGCTTTCATTTCCATTTTCACTGACACTCAGAGGATGCCAAAAGATTTCTGAAATGGTATTTTTGGGGAACATTTACAAAAGTTCTTCTTGTATTTTTTACCTATCTTTTCATTGAGAGAACTAGATCAGCAGCTCAAAATTGAATAGCCTGGCTCCAAATGAGTAGTAAGAGTAAGCAGTTATAAAGAAAGGGGGGTCTCAAATTCAAACTAACAATAGAAGAGCACTTGTTTTCTCCACCAAAGTAAGAATGTTTTAAGTTTAATAGTGCTATTGGTGTGGTTGCAGTGGAAGGAGAGCCACTCACTAGGGTGGCTACATGAAAAAGAATTGATAGCCATCATCAATTTGCTTCCCAAAAGAATCTATTTCAGACTATAAAAATGTTCATATTCTTCAGTGTGCAACTCAAGTTCAGTCCTGAAGAAATGAGTCAAGGTGTCTGAAAAAAAATGCATAGGGAGAAACATAATATTATCTGGAATAATAAATAAATGGAAAGCTTGAACATTCAAAAATTAAGAAAATAGTGGTATAATCACATGGGAAATATTATTCTAGGTTGAAGGTGATATTGAGCACTATGAGGTCATGCAGAAACTTAGGATAGTTGCGTGCTCATCTACAGGTTTATAAAAATAAAAATGTATGTAAGAGTAAAATGTTAAATGTTAAGATGGGATTATGAATGAATTTTTCTATTCTTGAGTGTGTGATTTTATTGAATTTTGTGATTAAAAATGTAAAAGAGTCAAACTTGACTGAAAAACAATGGATGAGAATGAACTGAATTTTCCTATATATTATTCTTTCCTATATGTATTGATGGTTTTTTATTCAGGAAAATGCCTGTTCTCTCCATAGGTGTGTGCTTCAGCTGAAATACCACTTCACTCAAAGGTCTCTCAATTGGCCATCTGCCTGCAGTAATCTCCCCCAGGCCATTCAAATCCCATGGCAACCACCCTTTGGGACACTAATCATGTCTTTTCCTGACAGGTTCTGACTGACTGCTGGCACAGGCATTCCTGTAAATCTTTGAGAATACTTCACTATTACAAAGTTGCTTGGCATGTTAGAAACTCAATGAACCAATGAAGGCTTGCTGAATTGAATAGAGGCAGAAGGGTAGATTGTTTCCTATTTGCTCAGCTCTGATTCCTATATAGAACTAAGCTTCGAGATTGGAGTTAATTCTCAGGGTTGCTATAAAAGAAAGAGAGCCAGGAAGAAAGGCAGAGGCAACAATCAAGTCTAAAAAGAAATCTGCCAACCACGAAAGCATTGCCTTGCAGTCCCAAGGTGGTTTGCCAATGTATCAGTATCTTGTGGGCAGGCATGACCACCAAATATCTGGAAGCCACAGACTCCTAGTGTAGAGAGCAGGAAGACCTTCTTCTGACTAGTCAGAGGTAGCAAGTGTCAGCCCAGAGAAGAGTGAAAAGTGTTGAGGATTACCCAACAGAGCAAAGAGTTAGACCTGTCAGTGCCTTGGCTGGTGTGACTCTCTTTGTTTTGTCTCAGGAAGGGTCAGTCAGGAGTCATAGAGGGACCTTGAAGCTGTGTGTCTACATACACTTAATTTTGTCTAAAGGGACATGTTCTTAGGTAACTGACCTCTTGAATGTTTAAGACCCAGTCACCAACAGACATACCATCTCCAAATGATTTCTTCAAAATCTTTTAAGTGTTTAATAACTGCAAGCATGTACAACACGACCCCATCCTGGATGGCATGGCAAGAATACACGCTATGGTCTGAGCACTTGTGCTCCCCTGACAGTTTGTGTTTGAGGCTTCATCATCAGTGTGATCGTGCTGGAAGGAAGGGCTTGGGGAAGAT